TATTTTTTTTCCTGGAAGTAGATTGTTTTTGCTAGGCAATGCAACCTGTTAATGAGACAGTTTCCCTGTAACAACGTGTAGCAAAACTCCGCAGGATTAATGGGAAGAATGTGTTGCCTTTGAAGCAGCACCACTTGAGTACAAATTTGTCAAATGTGCTCTATGTTATGCTGGTGTAAGTATAGCACTAGAGGATGTTTCTTGGGCCTACTTTGCAAGCCTGAGAGGTGCTGTGCAGCTCCGACCATGAACCGCTCTCCTAACTGAAGAGGATCCCAGGAAGGGGAAGGGCACTGTGGCCTCCATTCTACCCAGGGAGATTGGGTGAGTATCTGGCATGTAATTAAGTGCTAGCTCAGGTCGGGCTGTTTCTGCACGTAGGGTGGCCAGCGGTCAGGGGAGCCTGGCGTGGGGTTGCAGTGGACTGGGGAGGTCCCCAGTGTCACAGATCCCCCAGGGGCTGCGTGCTCCTCGAGGAAGGGGCCTGCTGTGGTGGGTGAGGACCTTAGGAGCTGCCCCGGTGACTCCTGGCAGGAGTGACTACGTCTGCTGTTGGCCGGGTTGAGCCTTGGCTGCCTCCTCCTCCCTGGACGGCTCCCAGTGCCTGTCAGGGCATCTTGTGTTGGTGAGCAGAGCCATGCGGGACCTTGCTCCTTGCTTCCTTCTCGAGACGCTGACTGTGTGCCTGCTCCCTGGGCGGAGTCTTGCTGTCCGGCTCACGGAGCCTCCTCCCTGGTGGTTGGTCATTGGGAGGGGTTTGGCTCTGGTCCTCTCCCCGACTCCGTGTGTGCTTCAGGGACGTTTCCAGAGGAGGCAAAGCTTGCGTGGGGTTTGCTGGGCAGAGGCGATCCTCAGATGCTGGGGTGAGGGCCACAGCCTCGTGGAGGTGGGAGCCCCATCCCAGAGCCCAGCCCTGAGCAGGCAGAGGAGTGCCAGGCGGTCATGCCACTCCCTCTCTCCCTGCACCAGGCCTGTCCTCACCACCTGCTGCTGTGTGTGTGGTGGGCGGATGTGTCAGTGGATTTAAGCAGAGTCCCTGCCCCGCAGCGCCCCCTGCATTTGACTCACTGCACCCTGAGGCAAGTCCTTTGACTCCTTGTCCTGCAGTTTCCCATCAAGGTGGTTCAGTGGTGCTAGTCACCCACATCAAAGAGAGAGCTCCGAGGGCACCATGCTGCTGGCACGGCCTTGCTGGCCTGGCTGGGCCTTCTGTAGGGAAGGCACAGAGCCCCATCCCAGAGGCCTCCTCCTGGGTGGCACCCAGCCTGCTGTCAGCCTGGGGAACGTGTGCTGGAGTGCGGGATGCTTGGTTGCTTTTTAATAAGAATTCATTCTTGCTGTGACTGCTGCACGCACAGGACAGCTTCACTCGCCCTTGCAGGTGCGTCCTCCAGGGCCAAGGAGTCTGGAGCAGGTGGGCAGCCTCTGTCTTCCTGAGACTCCTCAGATGAAGTTGGAGCTGCCAGCACCTTGCTGTGAGCGGTCACACTTCCTGTTGGCCACCTCCCTGTCGTCTTCTGGTTTCTCCTGCACCTCAGGGAGTGGATTGCCCCAACTTCACACACCAGGAATCTTTGGCGCTGTCCACGGTGCTGGCCTGGTGCCAGAGTTCCTGCAGCTCTGGTAGTTGGGGAGAGGTGTCTGCGTGTAGGCATGGGTCTGTGAGCTTGTGTGTGCATATTGTGTGTGCATATTGTCAATGTGCATGCATGTATGTGTGCCGCTGTTCCTGTGTGTGCACGTGTCTGTGTATGCCTTTGTGTGTGCACACGTGTCTGGTGTTTGTGTGCATGCATGTCTGTGTGCATTCCTGTATGTGTGTGCATCTGTGCAGGTGTGTGGTGTGTCTCTGTGCACGCATGTGTGTGTCTTTGTGGTGTGCGTGTGTATATGTGTGCATGTGTATATGCCTGAGTGGTGTGCATGCATATCTGTGCCTGTGTGTGGTGTGTATGTCTGTGTGTAGTGTGTATGTGTGCCTGTGTGGTGTGTATATGTGTGTTTTGCATGTGGTGTGTATGTACATGCATGTCTTCTTGTGTATGTACATGTGTATGTGTACCTATGTACAAATGTATTGCCTGTGTGGTGTCTGTGCATGTGTGGTGTGTGTACATGTGTGTCAATGTTCATGTAGGTGTGTGTGCTTATGTGTCTGTGTGTGGTGTGTGTGCCTGTGTATGGTGTGCCTGTGTACATGTGTCTGTGTGTGGCATGTATGTCTGGGCGTTCACCTGTGTATATGTGCATGCATGTGTGCCTGTGTGTGTTTGTGCATGCACCTGTGTGTTTTGTGCCTGCGTACGTGTGTCTGCATGTGGCGTGTGTGTGCATGCGCATCTGGGTGTTCACCTGTGTATATGTACATGCATGTGTGCCTGTGTATGTATGTGTGTGCGCCTGTGTCGTGTGCCTGCCTACACGTGTCTGTGTGTGGTGTGTGTGTACATGCGTGTCTGGATGTGTCCCTGTGTGGTGTGTGCATCTCCCAGCCGTACCCTGCAACTTGCCTGTGATACCTGCCTCTCGCTTGGAGTCCCAGAGCTGAAGGTGTCAGTTCGGATTTGTTTCCGTTGGAAAGAGGCTCCTTTTCCTTCTTGCAGCGTGGCGTTGGTCTGGCTGGGTGCCTGATGCCTCTGTTAGGGCCGACCTTCATTCTGGCCCCGTGTGTGGGACTCTGTGCAGAGCTGGACAGGAGTCATCACTGTCCTGTAGGAGAAGTGGGGCTGTGTTCATTGACCCGTGTGGCTTTGACATTCTCAGATGCGGTAGAGCCCTTCCTCTGGAACAGGAATTGGCACCTCTTTCCCCATCTTCAAGGAAGGACAGCGTGCTCAGGAGCGCTTCCCAAGTGAATAACTGAATGAATGAGGGGAGGGAGGGAGGGAGGAAGGAAGGAACCTCATGGAACAGGGGGGAAGGAGGGAAGGAGGGAGGGAAGGAAGGAAGGACGGAAGGAAGGAAGGAAGGAAGGAACGAACGAACGAACAAACGAACGAACCAACCTCATGAAACGGGGGTTTAGAGAATCCCGGCAAAGCAAGAGGCGCCGTGCCAGCCAGGCCCTGCAGGAGTGTTGATGTGTGGTGAGGTTGGGGTGTGGAGGTTTGCCCCAGCAGGGAAGGGCAGGTGCAGTGGTGGGAAGGCCAGCGCACGTGGGGACGAGGAGATGCGGCACTGCGGTGGCTGGAGGAGGGCTGCAAGAGTTGCCCGGATATGGGGGCAGCTGCAGTCTCGGCTCCTTGCAGGTTGGGAGAGAGTCGTGCTTGGTGTGCGGCTGGAGAGGGAAGTGGGCCGAGGAGGTGGTGGGTGCCGAATGCACCCATCCCTGGTGGCCGGCGCCCCAGTGCACAGCAGGCCTCAGTCTCGATGGGGACGGCCACCGAGGTCGTCCTGCGGGACTGCTGCCTCAGAGCTCACTCTGCTAATGCTCAGGTGGCTCATCTGTAAAGTGGGCGGCAGCACCGTGAGGACCCAGCCAGGTGACTCATCACATGCAAGGTTCTGTTGGAGTCACGAGCTGGTCACTGCCGCTGGTTCTGTCCCTTGGGCGCAGGAGACACGGAGGTGGGGGACCCGTGTGCCTGTGAGAACAGAGCAGACGGGAAGCCGGAGAGGACAGCAGGTTCGGAAGCCTGGAGGGGTAGCCGGTACCGAAGCTGAGGGGGGGGTTGGAAGCCGAGGAGAGCAGGTTTACGAAGCTGGGGCAGTACGAAGCCTTTGAGGTACGGAGGCCGAGGGACAGAGTACGGAGGCTGGGGCAGGTACGGGACAGCCTGAGGGGGTACGGAAGCGAGATGACAGCAGGTACGAAGCTTGAGGGGGTACGGAAGCTGCGGGAGGAGCAGTACGGAAGCGGTGAGGAGCAGGTCGGAGCGGGGGGGAGCGTTTACGGAAGCTGGAGGGGGGGCAGGGCTCAGCGTAGGAAGCTGGGAGGCAGGTACGAAGCGGAGGCGGTGGAGCAGGGGTTACGGACAAGCCAGAGTGGGGAGCAGGTACGGAAGCCGGAGGGGGGGAGCAGGTACGGAAGCCGGAGGAGGGGGAGCAGGTACGGAAGCTGGAGGAGGGGAGCAGGTACGGAAGCTGGTGGAGGGGAGCAGGTACGGAAGCCGGAGGTGGGGGGAGCAGGTACGGAAGCCGGAGGGGGGGGAGCAGGTACGGAAGCCGGAGGGGACAGCAGGTTAGGAGGCGTCACTGCATCAGGGCGTGGGATGAGAAACTGCAGCACCCAAAAAGGACCACATGGACCTTCTTGGCTGGCGCAGGGAAGAAGAGGGGTCCAGGAGGCCACAATGGGGCAGCCGTGGCTCACTCGTGCTCCAGGCAAGGCGGCGTGGGTGCAGCAGGTACAGCTGCTTCCCGGGTTCTGGATTCCACATCCTTGATAGCGTTCCTCAGAGAGCGGAACCTGCCCGTGCGAGCAACACGGGGCTTGTCGGTGTGGAATCCCTCATGGGTTGCAAGTTGTTTGGGCTGAATTCAAGACCTATCTGATGAAAAAACCAATGTGTAATGAAACTGGAAAAAATAAAAATGTTAGAGTAAAAGGTATAGTTTATCTGGTGTCTCCTGATTTTCATCAAGCAGCTTCATGAAGTGCCTTCCCAGTGACCTCTCAGCGTGTTTTAAGCCCAGCCTTGTTTCGGTGAGAAAACAACTCCGAGAACTGAGTGGGCTGCCAGAGGGTCGTGCCCTGTCGGGGCAGTGCCAGCCTCTCCGGAAGCCCCTGGGCTGCTCTGCACCCCGCTGGGTGTGCTTGCCAGTTGCTGAATGAAAACTGTTGCAGCCGCCCCTGAAGGTAAAAGATGTTTGTGAACGCTTCATGATATGACAGATGCTGGTTAAAAAACTACAAGGAAAACTCTGGACAAAGTTTGCGTGGAATATTTCCTTTCTTCTCCTTTTTTATTTGTAGAGATCGGATCTCACTGTGTTGTCCAGGCTAGTTCTCAAGTCATCCTCCTGACGCAGCGTCGTGAGTAGCTGGCCTACAGGTGCCCGGCTTTCTTCTTTGTTCAAAGGCTAGAGTTTCCGTAGAAAATGATGATCTGGTGTATTTTCACCTCCTCCGTGAGAAGCCCACGTCACGTCAGATCGGTCATGGCGTGAGGTTCTAGTGACGTCCCATTCAAGGGTTATTTCTGGTTTGATGTCGAGCGCTTGTTTTTGTTCTTTCTTTTTGATATTTCAGAGCTTGCCCGCTTCTGCTTAAATACTAGCCAGTTATTTTTCCATTTGTCATTCTGTTATGAAACTTCTCAAGAATCTACTACTCATTGAATTAACATACTGAATTTTTCTTTCTTGTGAAGTGATGTAATTGTATTACCAGTTTATTCCTTTATTTTTAGATTATAGTCAAAGGCCAAATACCTTGCCTCATTACAGGGATAAAATGAAAAAAAAAAAAAAAATCCCACAGGGATTATTGTTTTAAAGAAAGCTGTGACCGGGCCAGCATATTTTCAGCAGGCGTTTAAACATAATTTTTACTGAAAAAAGAAAATTCAAACTATCAGATTTTCAAAAAATGCAATAGTCCTGATAACTGTTAAATTTAAAATGCTTATTACAATGAGACAGGCAGATGTAGAAGGAAAAAGATCAGCTAGAGCTGCCGTTCACTAAGAGCAGAATTTTTATATTTTCTCTAAACTGATGAAGTAATGTGGTTTGTGTGTGTGTTGTGGTTTTAGTGGAAATGTTTTGGGAGATTTCTGTAATATGACAGGTGAAGGAGGCAGGCAACAAGCACCTCCAAGGCAGCCACGGTGGAAATTTCTACAATGATTATCTCCAGTCTTGTTTTCTGTAGCAGTTTTTCATTTAAATATGATGTTAGAAGCCTGCCAACTCTTGTTTGAAAATCTAATCACTTTTCTGTTTGTAAATCTATTAAGTGGAAACTAAAAAGGAATGTTATAAACCGATTTTGTTCTCTAGGAGTATTATTCTGTTCTGCATTGCTGTAAAGGAATGCCTGAGGCTGAGTAATTTATAAAGAAAAGAGGTTTACTGGGCTCATGGCTCTGCAGGCTGTACAGGGAGCATGGCGCCAGCACCCACTTCTGGTGAGGCCTCCTCGTGAAGCTGCGGCTCTTGGGGAAGGCAGAGGGGAGCCAGCGTCCTATGGTGAGAGAAGGAGAGCAGGAGAAGGCGGAGGTCCCAGCCTCTTAAGCAGCCAGTTCTCCAAGAGCTCATCACCACGAGGTGGGCACCAAGCCATTCTCACGGGATCTGCCCCCATGGCCCAGACACCTCCCAGCAGGCCCCCCGTCAACACTGGAGCTCACATGTCACGTGTAATTTGGAGGGGACACGGCCAGACCACGTCAGTGCGTTTTCTCCTCCAGTGACTTCACATCGTAAAGTCACTCATGAATATTTGTGGTCTCTCTTATTTTAGTGAATCCCTGTAAGCGTGTGGTCCTGTCGGTTTTGCAGCTTCTCCTGAGCATCCACATTTTGAAATAGGTCCTTTCGAACTGATCTCATTCTTCACATCCCCAAATAAGCTGTGCACGTATTTTCTCTGAAAGTCACACTTTCCCAAGAGACACCAGTTCATAAGGGTGATAGCAAAACTTTTGAAATTTTAGAGAATCACGAATGATCATTATTTCTAATATCTTCCAGCACCAAGAGTTTCATACCCAACTGTTAGATTTTAAATTCAGCAACTGCGTTTAGGAAGAGTTTAGAATTGAATAGGTTCACTTCCAGGGTCAAACTGTTTTTCTTTGTGAGATACATATATTTACAGTTTTTCCTAAGTGTCTAATTTCCAAAGAACACTTTACTGAAAGATTTTATTGGTATTTGGCTACGTCTTTGACTTGAAATAGCAAGTGTAGGCAGCAGTCCTTTCTGAGGATTATACCAAAGTGACTTAATTCCCCCGTGAAAGGGGCTCATTTCTACTGGGTGTTGCGGCACGTGAATTTCTGGTGGGGTGTTTTTCTGGGCCTTGGCCTTTTGTTGTTGTGTCTCTCATTTCTCAGCGCTGATTGCTTGGCCTTCTTGGTAATTTATTTGTTTTCCTGCAGGTTATTTTTTTCGATTGGCATTAAACACTCAGTCCTCTGCCTTTTTATTTTCCGGTGATTGCTTTTTGATGGGCACTAGAGTTTCAAGTTAAAACTTGCTCTTGCTGCTGGAAGCAGAGCACGTGGATGAGGTGTGGGAAGGCGAACAGAACCAGCCTCAGGCTTCTGGCAGACAGAAGTCGTTGTGACCACCAGGCACTTGCGTTTGGGCCACACAGCGTCGGGGGCTCCGGGAGCTCCTGCCGCACCAGCTGGTCCAGCGCTGTTTTTGTGGGTTCTTTTGTTTTCAACACATTGTAAATTAAACAGAAAAGAGGCTTTTAACCTCTGACTTGATTTTTTTCAGTCTCCATCTGTAGCTCATAGACGTACACACACTTAGGTAAAAACACATTAGATCAAAAAGGAGCATTTCAACAAACCAAAAATGACAAATGCTTCACTGTGTTCTGGTTATTCTGGAGGGAAAAAGCCTTTCATTTATGTTCTGCTTTTGGTGTTAGTCACCAAGGAGAGCTGGCCCGTTGGAAGACAGGCTGTGTTTACAAAATCAGGTCCAGATCTGCAGGAAACCACCGGCAGTTCGTGGGGTCCTCATGTCATTCCTCTGACGATTGCAAGAACCAGCAAGGGCATCAGTGCCATGTAATGTGGTCTTGGTCTAAAACAGCTGATGATTTCTGTGTAAATCAACAGTGTGAGCACTGGTGTTAAAGGCCCTGAGCGCCTGGGCCAGGTGTGACACTCGGCGCTTGTCAGCTCAGACGCTAAACCCAAAGCGGCACCGTGTCTGTGAGGTCTCTCCCAGCCCCAGCCTCCATCCTCTCCTCTCCGGGGCTGGGAGGAAGTGACACTCGTCTATGCATCTGCCAGCAATATTAGCTGGTGGAAAGTAATTATTAATATTTAATTTTGCTTTTTAAACTTTGCTGTTTTAAAAACTGATTTTAAAAAGTTAAAAGTATTTTTTAAAAAATACTTTATGATTTATATTTTAGCAGCTGCAAATATTTAGACATATATATTTGTCAGCAAAGTTATTTTTAGATACCGGGATATTTGTTTTAAACTGGGTTAAGATTTATTAAAATTCTTGTTGAAGACAAAATCTCCCACTTTATAATGAGATACCCGTTTTGACATCTATTTGAGATCATCTGTTTTTGTGCCTGTTTACAGGACGCTTTATGAATAATTCATTGGTCATGCATAATATGACACAAAACCGGTCTTTGCCAATATTTAATATCAAAATCATGCTGTAACTCCTGTCAGTGAAGCATTGTGCGGGATGCACTCGCCTTTTCTGTAACGAGGCTTTTACCAGAAGTAGCGGGGGCCAGCGTGGGTTCAGGCTCGTTCCAGCGATGGAGCAGACACGGTGACCTCCAGGAGTGTGTGGGCCGCCGGGAAAAGTGTTTTCCTTCATGAGGTTCTAGAACACCCATGCAAGATGGAGGCCCTTCAGCCACAGGTTTCATGAGATACTTAAACCAGTTCAGCTTAGGCTACCGAAAGGTGTTCTTTTTGCTTTAGTTTTTTTGGACGACCATGCTCAAGTTTGAATTTGAAAAGGGACGTTGTCTTTCCCATGGCTGTAAACTGTACGGACCTTTCTGTGTTGACCGTCGTGAATTAGCACATCCAGATCCCTACGGCCGACTTCCCACTCCCCCCTCCGTGTGAAAACTCAGGATTTAAATGTTAAGGACTAAACTTCTGTATTTAAATTGTAGTATTTGCTTAAGATTTTAAGCAGCCTGTTTTCCTGCATTCTTAAGTAGTTGCATGCTCTTCCTGGCATCCTGATTTATTATCCCAGATATCAGCTTTGTCGTCCTGTGTGTCTGTGGCTGACGCTGGCACGGTGCGGGTGTGCATCCTCAACCTTTCTCGTGGCACCTCGGCGTCCTGCCGTTGGTCGTGTCTGTGTGGCCTGCATTTACCTCTCGGACATCTCATTTGTCTTTGAGGGTGTCCAGGACATTCCTCTTCCTCCAAGGCCTCATTTGTACAGAGTAGTCGGTGATTTTCAAGGACTGGCATGATGAGATTTTGTGTTCAGAAGACAACAGGAGCAAGGTGCACGCCTAGGGCCCCGTCCTGCTTTCTAAATATTGGGCTCCTTAGAGAAGAGGCTGGTTCCAGGCCTAGGCAGAGGAAACACAAGATGAGCCTGCGGTACCTTGAAGGGCCTTGTGTGCTCATGGGAGGGCCAGGTGGGCTGGAGGGCACCGGGTCCACGCTGGAGGGCGCTGGGTCCACGCTGCGGCAGACCTTGTGGCCAGTGCCGGGACTGTTTGAGCAACAAAGTATACGTGGGCAGTACAGGGTGATGGTCTTTGGAACAAATGAAATATCTGCGAGTCTTTAAGGTATTACATAACACAAAGGTAATAATTCAATACATGTGCAAGTGCGGGCAGTTCTTCAGTACAGAATTCCATGTGATAAACACGGAAGGAGTGAGGAAAGGAAGCCACTGAGGAGCCCACAGCCACGTTTTTTGCCGGCAGGACCCACCAGCAGATGCCAGAATTAGTGGGTGAGATTGAGGACGAAAAGGACCTAGTCCCGAGGTGTCTCCTCCATGGTGTCTGTTGGTTATAAAGGAAAGAGAGTCGCTTGGCCAGGAGAAATCCAGCAGACCTCACAGCACCTGCGGGCGACCGAGGGCGTCAGCGGAGAGAAGCATCCCAGCCGGATGTGGGCGCCAGTGCCCATCTGCAGTTCTACAGAAGTGAATGACCTCAGTGTCACCCTGAGAACGCTGGACCCAAGTTACAGCAATTCCAAAAAATAACTGCTGCAAGAGATGTCACAACGGTGGAGGACGAGGAAAATGGGAGGAAACTGAGGCCTCGAGGGTGGATGGGGCAGGATCAGAGTCTGTCGATGCGGGAGCCGGCTGTTGGATGAGGGCTCACACAGCCAGGGCTGGGTTGGGGCAGAAACCCAAGTTTTCATGTTGAAACGGCCTCCCTGAGCCTCGCCAGGCCTGGGGCTTTCATGTGGCAAAGCCCCGAGGGTCAGGCTGTCAGCCCTGGCAGTGGCCCCGGGCCCTGGGCTCCCGGTGAGAAGTGAGTCCAGGACCTGCCTAGGTGGTCTATGGGGAAGCTCCTTAGGAGGGCGTTGCGGCCTCAGCATGTGGCCTGGACTCCCTGGTCTGCATGGCTCTGGGAACCACCCTTCCTGAATCTGCCCGTGCGGCGCCTCAGCAGGCTGGCAGGGGAATTACAGAAATCCTAGAGGCTGAAGACCCAGAGGCCTTGGGGTTCTGTGGGCCCTGCACGCTGCGCCAGCAGATTGATTCCTGGCATTCAGGTCGTGAGGCTGGGATCATGTAAGTCTCTTCCGAGAGAAATGACCGTGTTACAGAAGGCGGAGCCTGTGACTCCCAGGGTGGCCTCTGCCCTGTCAGTTATCCCGGAGAAACCCCTGCCAGCTGTCACTCTGAATTTAAAGCCAGCTGACTTTAGATTGTTCCCGCCTTCTACTTCCATTTTGGAATTTTTATAAAAATTCTGAATGTACTGTACACCTATATCAGATGTTTTCATTTGAAACATGAAATTTAACAGTATTGTTAGAGAACCACTGTTACTTAGGTTATAAATGTAATTTATTGCAGGCACTGGATGGAATTCAGTGAAAATGCTCCCTACGTATCTTTTTTCTTTAGGCACATTCTTATGTTGCTTTTAGCTCAGAAATCTGCCTCAGGAAGCCTTGAAAGACTGTTACCTGGGGCCAGACTCAGTGCCCTCCGATCCGTGCCTTGGTGTGTTGTGCAGTGTCTCAGTGCGTTCCGATCCCTGCCCTGGTGTGTTGTGTGGTGTCTCAGTGCACTCCGATCCGTGCCCTGGTGTGTTGTGCGGTGTCTCAGTGCACTCCGACCCGTGCGTTCCGACCCGCACCCTGGTGTGTTGTGCGGTGTCTCAGTGCGCTCCGACCCGTGCCCTGGTGTGTGCTGCCATTTTCTTTGGGATCAGCTGCCGTGTTTCTGCAAACTCTGTCATCTGATGCTTGGTTGGGCCCAGCGTCTCCTGGCGGTGGCTGTTTAGTCAGGGCCTGCCCCACTTCCTGGGACTGTCTTGTGCCTGCCCAGCTTCAGGCGTTCTGCTGCATTGCCTGGCTCTGACCATCGCCTGGGATTTCTCCGTAGCGTTTTCCTAGCTCCAGACACTGGTAGGCAGCTGGGCCTAGGGAGACGACTTCAGCCACATGTCCGCGTTGGCTGCCCCAGGCCCAGCAAGGCTTTAGCTCTGAGCGCCCTGTCCTTGTTTGCAGAATTGGGTGGCTGGTTACGGTTTTGTCTTCGAATTTGTTCTGGTTTGTGAAGATGTTGGATAAAGCTCATCTTATCTGCCCGCCATCTCCTCTGCTCATCACCAGGTCGGTCATCCGCACAGGACATTTTCTTCTTTGACATTTAAAGGATGTGTGACAATTGGATTTGTATCTGAAGTCTTGGAACCTTCTTTTGAACATACCTGGGAGCACTGCAGTACATTTTTAGAAGCATTTCACAGACCGCCTGTTGCTCCCTGAGAGCCAAGGTGTCTCCTCCGGACAGGTGTGCTTGAGGCAAACCCTTTCTGTAGGGGTGAGACCCGCTCACCACGGCCAGCAGCAGCTTTTGAGGGATCCTGTGCTAGAGCACTTGTGCATCATATTCAAAAACTAGCGTATGGGGACCCTCTCATTGCCAGGACCTCGTGAAGACCCCAGGGTCTTAGGGATCACATCGTTTCAGTTCAGGTTTTCCACTTAACTGGAGGTCATTTCCTCCCAGCAAAAGGAGCCTTTGCGCTCACTTGTTGGGAGCCGTGGAGGTGCAGAGTCTCAGGTGAGAGCCCCCGTGTTCGTGATCGCACTGCACCCCGCTTCCACTGAGCTCTGTGCTCAGGGTTTTCACGGTCCATCCACGGAGGACACGGGGAGCGTTGCGTGGAAACCCACACAGTGTTCTTAACAGCGGGGCCTGTAGGAGGGTGATTTCTACCACGTGTTTGTCTGAGAGGCCAGAATTAGGAAGGGTTTGTGCCTTCGGCTACAGTGTCCCCATGTAGGGCCATGGAGCCTCCCTGCCTCGCCCAGAAGCCACCCCCAGCGTCTCCTCTCAGGGAGCCCATGACAGATCCCTGCACGCCTCCAGTCAGGCCAAGTCCCCACCTCCCTGTTCCTAAAGGCACCAATTACTTGTGTCAGGAGTGCTGATTTCTGCTGTGCGACTTTTGGTTATTCCAGAGCAGCTTTTTTCTAAATTTTATGAGGTTAAAAGAATTCATTTCATTAACTTTTCCCCACACCTTATCCACTATGCTATTTTGAGATCAATGGCTGTTCATTAACCACACTTAACTCAGGGCAGAAATATTTGTTCATTATGACAGTTCGTCCCCACAGTTTAAACAATGTAAACAAAAACAAAGTAAAGAATCTCTGTTTAGCGGCTAAACCATGTCAGGTGCACGGAATTCTCCCCAGTTGCAGTTGTTGACACGTTCAGTTTAAGGGAGAGAGTGCAGACCACGGGTTCCCAGAGGGCGCGGGGTGGTGCCTGCCCTGCCTGAGGGCCCCCCAGACCTGCTCCATTCACACACCTGGCTCCAGGCGCTGTGGGCCACTGACACCATCCACCCAGGACCACAGCCCCACTGACGGGTCACGGCCTGCGTGTGCCTCAACCTCAAAGGGAGGAACCAAGCGACCTGGAGCCAGAGGTAGCACCTGCCGGCAGTGCACAGCCTACTGGACGCAGGGTGATGCCCTGGGGAGAGGGTCAGTTGATGGCAGGATGGTGGGGGGTCCTCTAGGGCCGGCCTCAGGGGTTTCTCTGAGGGGCAGAGTCTGGGGGATCCTGGTGTGCAGTGCCCAGAGTGGGAGGACCGGGGACTTGGGTCTCCATTGGTGCTTTCAGGATGTGTGTGTTTGTGTGGAGTAAGAGGCATGTGTGATTCAGATAAACTGCATAACTGGTTCCTTTTCTTCCTTTTCTTTTCGTCGGTTGTCCATACAGTGTTTGTTGAGAAGGTGCTGCAGAGACTTTTTCCTCATGTTCCAAGTGGCCAAGGAAAGAGGGAACCCCAGACGCTGGCTGTCCAAAGTCCACCAAAGAAAGTGACCTCTGAGAAAGTGAGTCGGAAACATGCTCAGCCTTTGACAGGTGAGGTTGTCTGCAGATGTGGGTGGGTCTCAGGGACTGAAGTTAACCTCTGTCATCATCACTTGCCCTGGAGAATGTGTCTTCTGGGCCTCGGGCTTCTGTCTGCAGGTCTGCACAGGGCTTGCAGCAGGTGGGCAGGGCAGGCATCACTGTCCACACAAGCTCTGCCAAGGCCCCTGTGGGCTCCCCAGCCAAGGCCAGGTCAGGGTGCTGCCTTTTTGGGGTCATTTACTCGTGTGCTCTGAAGATGCCAATTGGACTATAACTCGGGTTTGGCCCAGCCTTCCTGTCCTCTGAGGAAAACAGGCGCCTTCCCCACCACAACACCGTGTCCCCAGTCACTGTGGTGAAAACGCGTCTCTACTAAAAATACAAAAATTAGTCAAGCGTGGTGGCGGGAGCCTGTAGTCCCAGCTACTCGGGAGGCTGAGGCAGGAGAATCACTTGAACCCCGGAGGCAGAGGTTTCAGTGAGTCGAGATCACACCACTGCACTCCAGCCTGAGTGACAGAGTAAGACTCTGTCTTAAAAAAAAAATCAGTTGGGCGAGGTGGCGGCGCCTGTAGTCCCAGCTACTCGGGAGGCTGAGGCAGGAGAATGGCGTGAACCCGGGGGGCGGAGCTTGCAGTGAGCTGAGATCCGGCCACTGCACTCCAGCCTGGGCGACGGAGCGAGACTCCGTCTCAAAAAAAAAAAAAAAAAAAATCAGTTGGCCACAGATGTGGGGTTTATTTCTGGACTCTCAATTCTGTTCCATTGATTTATGTCCATCCCGGGTCTGTACCATCCACCATCTTGTTTTGACTGCTGTAGCTGTGTACTAAGTTTTGAATTGAGAAGTGTGGGTCCCTCTACTTTGTTCTTTTTCAAGATTCAGGGTCTCTTGCAATTCCATATTAATTTTAGGATCAGCATGTCAATTTCTGCCAAAAAAAAATCATTTGAAGTTTTGATGGGTATCGCACGAGTTTGTAGAACACTGGGCAGTATTGTCTTCTTAACAATATTACGTTGTCCAGTTCCCTAACTTTAGGATGTCTTTTTATTCAATTAAGTTCTCTTTAATTTCTCTCAACCGTATTTTGTAGTTTTCAGACTGCAGTTTCATCTTTTTTTTTTTTTTTTTTTGAGACGGAGTTTCACTCATTGCCCAGGCTGCAGTACAATGGCATGATCTTGGCTCACCACAACCTCCACCTCCCGGGTTCAAGTGATTCTCCAGCCTCAGCCTCCTGAGTAGCTGGGATTACAGGCATGTGCCACCACGCCCCGCTAAATTTTTTTGTGTGTATTTTTAGTAGAGATGGAGTTTCTCCGTGTTGGTCAGGCTGGTCTCAAACTCCCAACCTCAGGTGATCTGCCTGCCTCGGCCTCCCAAAGTGCTGGGATTACAGGTGTGAGCCGCTGCGCCCGGCCTTATCTTTTTTTATATTTTTCCTTCCAGTACTTCCAGGACGTAGAAAAGTTTTACCCTTTTTTAAAAAGTTTATTCCAAAGTATTTTATTCTTTTTAGTGCTGTTGTTAAGTGGAATTGCTTTCTTTTTTGTTTGTTTTCTTTTGGGAACGTTCGGTGTTTGTGTGTGAAAATGCAAGGGATTTTGTGCATTGACTTAGTATCCTGCAGTTTTGCCGAACTAGTTTATTAGCGCTTACGATTTTGTTGTGGATCCCTTAGGGTTTTCTATATACAGTCACACATCACTTAACAATGATAATGCATTCCAACAAACGCATCCTTAGAGGATTCCATTGTCGTGTGAGCAAAGTCTGCTTGCACACAGGAGGCGGTGGAGCCGGCTGCGGGCCGGGGCTGTGTGGCACAGCCTGTGGCTCCCAGGCTGCTTGCCCTGTCAGTACATGCCTATGCTGTAACACGATGGTGAGTGTTCACGTATCCAAACATTAAAGAGGTACGGAAAGTGCAGAGTTACCATCTTCAGGGTCCGCGTTATCTTGAGGCTCTGCCATCCCACATGCAGCCAGCCCTTGACCAGCGTCCTGTGTGGTGCATCACTGTGCAAGATGCTGTCATCTGTGATTTCAGGTAGTTTTACTTTTTCCTTTGTGAGTAAAGATAGTTGTACTTTTCCCTCTCTAGTCTGGATGCCCTTTGCTTCCTTTTGTTGTTGTTGTTGACTAATTGCCCTGGCTAGAAGTTGTACTATGATGTTGACAAAAAGTGCTGCGAGTGGGAATCCTGGTCTCATCACACTGTATGGTGTTAGCTGTGGGTTTCATACGTGGCCTTTATCATGTTGAAGAAGTTCCCTTCTATGCCCAGTTTATTGATTTTTTTTTTTTAATCATGAAAGAGCATCATATTTTTCGAAGTGCTATGCCTTGGAAATGTTAAAGGAAAAATGTTATAATTTACTTGCACCTAGAATAAAAGAAGTCTTGGCCGGGGCAAAATGATGAAATCACAATAAAAAAGGTAAGAACCGTGGGTCCCTTCTGCACGGGCCGTCGCGCAGGGTCCAGAGATGCGTGTCCAGGAGGAGGCCTGCTGGATATCAGGGCTGGGCCGAGTGGTGCCCTGTGAGGGGCAGGAGGCAGCCGGATGAGGATCAGTGCCCACATCCACCCTTGGACATGAGACGGAGGAAAATGTTCTTGTACAGTCAGGACACAGCATGGTGATTATGGCAACGATTTAACCAGTGGATGATGTTTGTTCACTTTACACGGTCTGTTTATTTGGTTCTAGAAGAGTGTGGATAATTCCGTTTGTCCCAAAGATAAGACTAATTTGTCAACAACCAAAATAACCAGGGTGTGCGCATTTCGGTAAATTTCTTTCACTGAAGAGCCCATATTGAACTTTATTTTTAAGTTGTCAGTTATATGTTGCATATATTTTAGATTCAAATAATTCTCCAGGAATTATTAAAAACAGCAGCGTTCTGCCCCTCACTCCAGTCACAGACCCTCCAGCTCTGCGGCGGCTGCTCCGGGGTAAACCACCCCCCGTTTCGGAGTCACACACTGACACTGTTGCTTCCTGTTTTCTTCTTCTTTTTCGGCAGGGAAGGAGGGGATTAAATCTTATGTATTGACTTTGGAAACGAAGGATTTCCTTTTTTTTTTAGCACCTTCCCCCACCATGGATGCATATTTTTTACAACCCCCGTCCTTCCAATATAATTTTTTCAAAATGTTTGTACATCAGTATTGTTTACGTTTATGTCTCCGTAAATACAGTTTCTTGCTGGTCACGTAACACATGATTATTCCATTTTGTGAAACCTTCAGTGGAGTGAGCAGAGCTTTAGTAGAGTTAATAGTTTTCTTGGATTTTTACATTTTCTCCTGAATACTTAATAGTACTAATTTCTCCCCGCACCTCCCTGTCTTTGTTCTATGGTCAGACACATTCAGGGCTCAATGAGCTTCCAGACCGTTCCACCCCAAGCGTGGGCCGCCCCCAAGTCCTTGCTGTAACTCCCCGTCTCGCCTCTCCCAGGGGATTCCTTTGCTATCCTGGGCCTCAGTCTTTTCATTTCTTGGGTTTGCTTCCATTTTGTTGAAACACATTCCCTAGTAACTTCCTGAAAAATGGTTTTTGGGAGATAAATATTTTAGAGATCTTGAAGGTCAAGTGTACCTTAATTCTTGTACTTGAAATTTGTTTTTTGGGGTGTAGAATTCTGGGCTAAATAATTGTCTCTCACACTTTAAGACTTTTAACATCCCGTGTCGCTGTGAGAAGGCAGTTGCCATTCTGGTTCTCGATTCCTTTGGCTACGAGCAGTTTTCCTCCCTCGCGGCAATTTGAGGTTTTGCTTCTGGCCTTCGTGTGGTGGGGTTTGATGCTGAGGTCTTGAGCGTGGTCTGTTTTTATCTTTCGTGGCCTCCGTAGTCTGGGAATGTGTGCCGCTCTCTTGTTTCCTTGATCATTTCCTCCTCTTTGCTTTCAGTCTTCAGTTTATGGAATTCCTGTCATTCAGACATTGAGTCTCCCAATAGATTCCCTTTTTTTCTTACATCTTCTCCCTGATTTTTTATGGTTTAGTGGTTTAAGGCCACTTTCCGGGAGATTTTCTCAAACTTCATCTTCCACCCTTCCTGCTGCACCCTTCGTTTCTGTCGTTGCATCTCAGAGTGGGAGCGGGAAGGAGGAGAAGGGTCTGCCACGCTCTCTGTGGACAGGCTCTCCCTCCCTGTTTATCTTACGGGGTCTTCGCCTTCAGTTGTGGTGTCTGAGGCTCCCTGGGGCCAGACCTGGCCTTTGCAGAGAGTGAGTTCTGATCTCCCTCCGGTGGTGGGGAAGCTTCCACAGCCTACCTGCACCCCTTTTCCGCCCCACTTCCAGGCTCCCTGGCAGCCCCACTGGCACAGGTCTCGTGTCTGGTGTGTTTCGGCTGCCATTGTAGGATTCAGTATCCCGTCTACTTTTCACCTTCCAACACTGTATGTTTTCATCTGTCCTTCCTTTGTCCTCCGTGTGTTGCAAACCCACTTACTCTCATTTTGGTGGGGCCTTGGGAGGAGGGTGGGGTGTGTGCATTTGTTCTGTCCTGCACCTTCGTCTGTATCTTACTGACGTGCCATTAACAGATAGGATGGGTTCATTTCTGTCCCCTTGGCTGTGCTGAACTGCGGTTCCCACAGTTCCCTCCCCGAATGTTCCTGGTTACAGGGGGCCACGGGAGGCCCTTCTGCCTGAAACTCGGAAGGTGGACGTAAGTCCTTTTAGTTTCCAGCTCCTGGGGGTGGAAGCTCACGCAGCTCACGTGCACTGTTGCAGACTTGCTGCCTGCCTGGGTGCTGTGGGCAGTTCTGGGCCTCCAGCTCTCTGCAGCTTCTTGGGCCCTCCTTCAGCTGACCCCAGGCCTGTGGGGTACCTGGCCTGGGTAGGACACCCGCTGCTACTGTCAGCAGCAAGGACTGAGACAGGCTTCCGCCTGGTTCCCTGGGCGTCCAGCTCTCGCTCCTGCCTTCTGGCTTCCGCCCTGCCCCCCTGCATCCATCACCAAGGCCGTGCGGCCCGAAAGGGTCC